CCTCCTCCTCCTCCTCCTCCTCCTCCTCCTCCTCCTCCTCCTCCTCCCTCTCACAGCTTCAGCTGTGGGAAGCCGAAGTGCAGCTGGTGCACGAGGCGCGGACGGCAGCTCCATTCAATATTAAAGAGCGGTGCCGGTGACGAGGTGGGGTCGTAGTGTTCCAGTTTTAGTCCTGGTTGATTTACAGGAACGTGCAGAGGAGACGCGTTCAGGCATCAGATGGTGCGTTTAAAGTCGTGGGAAAAAGGAAATCCACTCTTTATTTTACTGTTTTATTTATCGGGACTGAATGGCAAACAAACAGGTCTGAATGATTGCTGCAACGTGCTGAAGAAGCTACAACTGGCTGACTACAGCTAAAAGAAAACACAAAACACTGGCTACAAGTAGCACAAGGTTAACCAAAAGCTAAAAGTATCAAAAGGATAACCAGATGCAAGCTACTAATACCAAAGAACTAGCTAAATGCTAAAAGAAAACCAAAAGGGTAACACAAAGCAACAAATTGGTAATAAACCAGAAAAAGTTAACGAAAAGCAGCAAACAGTGAAGCTTAAAACATCAAGAAGCAAGCTAAATGCTAAAATAACAGCTAAAGGCTAGCTAAAAACAGCAAACTGCTAACTAAAAGTAGTAAAATGTTAACTAAAAGCTAAACGGGGCAACAACCTAGCTAAATGTAATACCAGGTTAGTTTAAAGTATAGTATAAACAAAAGAAGCAAAAAAAAACATATAGCTAAAGGCTAGCTAAAAGGAAAGTGTTAGCTAAAACGGTAAAGGTTATCTAAATGCTAAAAGATATTTCTAAAAAAATGCCTAAAAGCTAAAGGTTGCAAAAAGCAAAAAGTCAGCTTAAAGTAACAAAAATAGCTAAAAGGTAGCAAAAGGCAAGCTAAAAGTAGCTAAAGAAGACTTAAATAGCATTTGCTTGAAGCAGAAGTTTTAAAAGGATGTTAGAAATTTTTTAAACATTTAGAAAAGTATAGAACGTCCCAGCACCCGTGTCCTGAATGAGCTAAACCTTTGGCTATAAAAACAGCTGAAGCGCCACAAAGCTCATGAAGGTGTCAGCCGGGTGACGGTGTCTGAAGTGACGTGGGCCTTCGTGAAACGCCTTCATCTCGCGCGCCGACAAGATGATGCTCGCCGGGCGCCGACGACCTCCGTCTTCCCGCATTTATCGCCCCGGCTCGGCCTTGCGTCTGTTTACGGGGGAAGGGAAGACACGGGAAGCCGACTTGTTTATGGATTCCACTTCCTTTGTGCTGCGTGAGGGGCTCGAGCTCGAGCTCTCGTTACTCGCGTGACTCCCAGAGGAAACGATCGAGGCCGAACGATAACTCGGGCGAGGAAACGACAGTGGACGTAGAACGGCACCGTCTCTGTCCGTTTGACACGTTCACGTCTCATGACCCCAGTCAAGGTCACAAATCAAGGTCAAAGGTCATCACTACAGATTGTTGTATAATGATTTGTTGACATAATGTACCGTATACGGTACTTTTATTGTCTGTAAATTTTTCATCTATTTCAACAAGTCATGAATCCAAACGTTCGGCTCCTTCAGGACAATCCTGCTGTGACTTTTGGTTCAGGTGCAGCTTTAGCTTTTTGAAATATTTAGCCTTTTCTTCCATTTTTTCCTCATAGAAAATGCATTGAGCTCATTTTGCTTCAGATCTTTAGCTCTGTTTACAACCTTTTACTGCTCCTTTCACATTTTGTTCTGCTTCAGCTTCTTTCTGCAAATTAAAACTTTTTCAGCTGTTTTTTTTTTTCAGTTTTGTGCTCCTTTCAGATTCTTTCTGCAAATGACCATATGTTTCGGATTATAAAACGCACCAGATTATTATTTGTATAGCACCAAGTCACAACAGAAGTCGTCTCAGGGCACTGAATTAGATTATAAGGCGCATTAGGCGAAACGGAACAGATGAGCCGAACTTTATTCAACTCGTTCACAATAATCACATAAAATCGGTTTGAGGTCAGTAAACCAGATTTAATCCATAAATCCACTGTCAAGTTTAAGTAAATTAAGGATTTTAAGTGCTCCTTATAGTCTGAAAAATACGGTAAAACATTTTTGTGCTTCCAACTTCTTTCTGTTCAGTTCAGCTTATTTATGCAAGTGTCAGCTTTTTGTGCTGTGTCAGCTACTATTTAGCTGTTTATGCTAATTTTAGCCTTTTCAGCTAATTCTACATTTTTTTTCCACTCATTTCAACCTTTTTCAGGCCAATTCAGCAAAATGTGCTCTCCACTTCTTATAATTTAAGCTTCTTTCAGCTGTTTTTTTTTTTTTTTTTTTTTTTTGTTGCTAATTTCAGCTTTTTTTCAGATAATTTCCACTTTTTTGTGTTCATTTCTGCTTCTTTCAGCCTAACTGGGTAAACATGTTCCTTCTGCTAATTTCAGCTTTTTTCAACTAGTTTAAGCTTTTTCTGTTATTTTCAAGGATTCAAGGTTCTTTATTTGTCATTCACATCACATGTGGTACATGTGGTGGAACGAAATTGTGAACACAAGGTCCCAGTTACATCCAACAAAAGTATTAAAATGTAAATTATTTATTATTGTATTAAAATGTTAAAAAACAGTAATAAGATCCAAGATATGAACTAAGAAAAACAACAAAAAATACACTAGTAGTATAAAAACAGTGCGCTGAACAGCAGCACGAACATGAGTCTGTGTGAGCAGATGCACGCATGAACACAGCAACATGCAATAAATCAGCAGCAACATGAAACAGATCAGCAGCAACATGAAACAGATCAG